GAGTAAAACAACCACTTTTGAGGAGTTAAAACATTTAGTTTGTATGGAGCAGTTTTATCGACTGATTCCCATACGAATGAGGTGGTTCGTGAAGGACAAGAAGATTAAACAAGTGTCAGATCTCGCGGCTTGGTTGGATGAGATGGAGCATGACTGGAATGTGAGTCATGGCTCAGGAGCCACCAAGAGACCAAGGGAATGGGTTCCAAAAGAGAAAACTGACGTAGGAAATCAAAATCCTGTCAGGAGGGACCGCATTCCAGAGATTGCCACAGGAAAACTTGTCTGTTACTTCTGCCATCAAGAGGGTCATAAGAAAACGGCTTGCCCCAAATTAAACACCCAGAAAAGGCCAGTTACACCACCAAAGCCAGTTAAGGTGGTTAGGCAAATATCTCCACACGAAGAAAGTCAGTCTCCACATGCGCAGGAAGAGCCTGTGAAGATAATGCGTGTATGGAGTACTGAGAAAGAGTCAAATGGAGATTATTTGAGGGTGATCAAAGTAAAGGGTCAAGAACTAATGGGATTCAGAGACACTGGGTCGGAAGTATCGCTCATTAGGCCAGAGTTTGTCAAGGCAGACCAGATACTTCCAGGCCAAAAGTACAAATTGAGAGGAATTTATGGCCTTGTGTCCGAAGTGTCAGTGGCTGAAATCCCAATAGAATATAAGAACTTCACTGGAAAATGGAGAATGGGATTGTTTAATGATCTAGAAGTGCCAGTATTGTTGGGCAATGATTTGGCTGAGCGCTGCAGACATGTTGGTGTTATTACCAGAAGCCAAGCTGAACGAGATGGGGAGGGTGAATACACTGTTACAGATGAGCAACCATCTACCTCACAAACTGAAAATGTCAGCCAAGAAATTCCCTTCAGTTTGAACCAAAGCCATATGAGGCAGTTTGAAGCAGCTCAACCACAGGATGAAAGCTTAAAACCCTTATGGGATGAATTGGTCCCAGAAAACCACACACCCACAAGTGAAAATCCAGTTTTGTTGAAAGTTGTGGAGAATAAATTGTACC